TTCCTATTTCGTGTCTGTTTACAATGAGAGAAAGAGAAAAAAAAAGTTGAAGAGCGTCATAAACGTACATCGTACATTGTCTAATGAAAATAGCATGTTCAAAATGTGCGCAGTTTGAAGCGCATACAAATGAACATGATTACCAGAGAGATTCAAGATATCAAGCGAACGGGGCATAGAAACACCGGAAAAAAACCAGCAACAACTATACAACACTGTATAATACCAGAAAAAATGAGCAGAATCCTTTTCTGATTGCTTCATAAAAATTAATAATGTCATGGAAAATGTTAAATTGCTGTCATTCACTTTTTTACATTCCCAATCTGTTTCTCCGTCTGTGTGTCTCCTTCGCGGTCTATCTCTTCCCATCACTCGGAATTATTGACGTATTTTCCATTCAATGAATGTGATTTTACACCTCAATTACTTGTAATTAGCTTGATTCGGATAAGCAACCAACGATGGTTTTTCTCACGATGTAACAACATTCACTTTCATATGAACGAACCGGTGGTTTTGTTGCTACAAAAAAAACTACGGTTCAAGAAAATTAAGAACATTTCACGTTTTTGATGTGCTTAAGTCTCATTTAATTTTTTCTTTGCGAGACAAAAAACATACATTTTACCAAAATTCGTGACACCGCACCATAATTGCATCCACCCAGCCGGGCCAGCCCGTGCCATAGATTATCGTCGTAAATATCTGTAAATAAATAAACAAACAAATGAATAGCAATCAAAATAAACACTCTCTCTCTCTCTCACACACACACACACACAAATAAGCCCGTACCCATGATTTGTTTTCCAAAATCCGATCCTCTCATTCTCTTGTTCACTCGGTCCTATCTTTATTTTATATGTCGATTGAGGTGATATTTCTTGCTATTAATTTAGAATAAAAACAGATTAAATGTACTTAAGGTGTTTATTTCAGATATTTTGTGAGCCCATTTGTCTGCCGTCCAAACACACTTTTACTCTTTGGAATTTATCGTTGCTGTTTCGTCGTTTGCTGTATCGTCGTATATCGTAATCGGGCAAAGAAAATTTGACAATATGGGGAACAAATAGAAAGGTGGAGAGTAATTTCGTTCAGCGAATGCTCGTCATCGTTATGTGATGGTAAATAACGGTGACTCCTACATAGAAATGATACGGTTTCTATCCCGTTCATTCTCACTCTATCGCTCTCTCTACCTCTATACCTGTATACATCTGATAAAATTTGTTTCGAAAACCAATTACAAGTTTTGGGAACTAAGTTCCAAGCTGTTCATTAAGCGGTACATGAACTTTTCAAAAGTACAGTCGATTCAAGCGCGTACACCACTTTTCACACTATTTTTCACTGGATTGGTCCAGTCTATGACAATGTGGCTGTCCACAATACCGTAATTCAATGCACTGGAACAAAAGCATTCAATTATGACTAATTAACTTCATATTTTCACTATATAGATTTTTTTCCCCGTCAGTTTAGGCTATGCGATCAAGTTTTTATATTCGGCAATAAAAAAAATTATTTATACCAGTTCAAGCTTGTTCGTCATCATTGCCGTCGCCGTCACCATCAAAATAACTATCGTCATCATCATCATTATATTATCGTCATTTCTCACAATGATGATATGTAACTGTCGCCATTCTTTGCTAGACGATTGCTAGCAATAAGAGACAACAAAAAACGATGTGGCAAGTGAACAGAAACAAAAAAAAAATCTTATTTAGAAAGTTTTAATGTGCTCGACATGATTCGAATATATACGGTTTATAGCACTGGATAAATAGAAAATCCCAACCAACGGAATTTGAAAAATTAACATTTTGATTTATCTAACGTGCACAGAGATGGCGACGACGACGACGACGACGACGAAAAATGGTATATGCATCTATTAAACGACAACTTTCGGTAAAAAAAAAGAATTTGGGACACGGCAATGGCGTCACAACAAATATTATGTAATTGAATTTGATATCAACGATAACATCCTGATGCGACAATACACAATGATAAATCAAGATAATACAATGGACGACTTATCAGAATGGAAAATAGAACCAATTATTTATAATAGACGTAATAACCCACATGCGATTACAATTTTCTTTCTACATTCACTTTGCGTTCGCATACAAAATTCGATGATTGAGTTTTGTTATTTCAATATGATATTATTGAAATTGAATGTACTTGTCTTTGTCTATGATGTGAATGCGCACATGAAATGGATTTCTAAATACATAGTCTTTTGGTCGTATGTTGTCGCAGATAGATAGAGAAAGAGAGCGTCGCACGCAAACGGATTTCAACCACATTGTCGTGGTTCTTTTGAAACAAAAAAAGCGACATAAAGAAGAAGAAAAAAAAGCGGCAAAACGAAAATTGCATTGTTGTTGTATACACTGTCTCATACGCTCGGGGACCAATCGATTTATGCATCTTTATTTCTTTTTCCACCGTCGTATTGTAAGCGAATTCTGATGGTCTTTGTCGATTCATTAGGCGTGTTTTTCAGACGTAATATATCCAAAAATATATGCAATGAACCACAAGAAGGGAAAAAGAGAATTTGCAAGGAAACTGACGAATGAAAATAAGCACCGAGACACAAGCGCGTTTCGTGTCTTTACATGGCTTTCTATTTAGCACTTACTTAAGCTTCTTCGTCGGTACACATAATTGATATGCTAGTGTGTGCATTGTACGATGTCATACGAGAAGCAAGGGAAATATTTGCCGTTTATTGCCGTTTATTCAATTCGGTTACATTTCGTGACGAAGACATTGTTTGTTTTAACCGTTATGTTTTCTGTCTCTCTTTTTCGATTTTATTTCGTCCTGCTGTCTTCACTTTCTCTTCATACCCGTTTATCCATCACAGCATGTTGTGTTATTTTTTGTGGAGCTTTTGTGTTTCATCGCCTCTATACTTTACCGATTATATTCTTTATTTTTGTTGCACTTCGATTGTTTTGAACAAGCATCGAGTATAATATGATTCGTTCATAAACCGTTTCACAAAGTGTTTGTTTGCTTTTTTTGCATTGTAATCGAATATGTCATCGTAATTGGGTGCATTGGAATGGGTCACATAAAATCAAATGAAAACTCAAATCAAACACATGAAAATGCGTAAATATACTGCATTTGTTCGAATGCAAGCGGCAAAAAAATATATGCCAAAACGAGTGGAAAAAAGGGGGTGGGAAAGAGCGCGCGCTTAATTTTACGTCCTTTGCTTTGCTGTACAATTTATCCTAAGTACCTAGTTTATACAATGTATATACATATTCCATACGTTGGTTGCTTTTGATCAAAAAGAAAAACATATATGGACGTATGGCAAATGCAGCTCTCTCGTGTTCTTATCGTCCATTACTGTTGACTTCTCATTATGTTGACAAACAAAAATTGCACATTGAATGAGGCAGGCAGTCAGGCAGGCGAACGATGGTATGACGGAACGAACGAGTAAATGAATGTGTATGTACATATGTGTATAAAGCCATCTAAATCAAAAAGCTTATGAGTGCAGATATGTGCACTGAAATTAAATGCAAAATAAACTCTTGTTTCTAGTTATGAAAATAATGAGAAGCGAATTGTCGAATACTATAAAGCGAACGACCAAATAACTCGCAGAACTAAAAACAAAGTGAAGAAACACACAACCATCCCGTTGACTGTACACAAAACTATTCGAATAGATTTTTGTTAAGAAGTGGGAGACAGAGCGAGAAACAGTACGAATTAATAGAACTTGTGTTTGTTACTTCACACAGTACCAGCAAATAAATTAAATAGACAAAGAAGGAGCAAAGCGTTCAATCAACTAGTACATGTAATTTCAATTTAACTTTTTTCGCGCCAAAGCAATATACAAATATCATTTCGAAATAAAAGGGAAACAGAAAGAGGGAGCGAGAGAGAAATACCGAGATGATGATGGATTTTTATACATATATGTAAAAATGTACGAAATCCCATGCTGGATGGTGAATTCATCGCGTGAAATTTTCATAGCCGTGCACAAGAATCAGTTTCAACATTTTCAATGTTCGGTGTGTGTGTGTGTATGATATTTCTATATGTGTGTATTGTTTGTTCACGATTCACTATTTAGTGTTTTGTTCGCTCAGTCAGTCACTTGCTAGCTCATTTGATTGTTTTCTCTTATTGGTCTACCGTTTTTTCGTTCTCTCGTTGCTATGATGAATAAATGACAGATGGAAAAACTTTCGATTTCAATGCATTTGGCATTAATTCTGATGAAAATGTGCTTAGTTGAAAGTTATCCGAAGTGCTTGAAGCATTTTTTTTCGGCTATGGATTGATAAAGATACACATATACATTCGCACGCACACATTTTAAGCCAGAGTGTATTTCAAAACACTAGCGACGATAAAAAAGAACAGAAGCGATCGAAACCGACAGAGAAAGCACATAATCAAAGTGAAAAAAAATACTCACGCGCGCTTTCGCTCTTGCAAACGAGAGACATAAAAGGCGAGCATACACACAGTGGCATTACTCACACACACATACACACACACACTCACACACATGTTCAAACTAACGGGCAAACAGCTGCGGAAATGAAAAACGTGCGCGTGCGCCTTGATGCGTAAATGTTGTGTGTCTGTAAATGCTGGGCACGACAACAATACTATTATGTGAAAAGGGAGGGAAAGTATTAGCAATGCTTTTATGAAAATGCCTGAAATTCACAGCAATATACACAGCGATATTGCTTGGTTGAATGGTGTTGTTGTTGTATTCATACATTCATTTCTTCCTTTTGGTACGCTTTCGTTATATTTTCTCTCTGCTTCATTCTGTCCTATGGTATATTGGTTGTGCTTTTCCACTTTACTTCTTCTTCTTCATCGTTTCTTTTCCATTTTCACTCCAATCAATGTATTCTCATCGTCATGCATGTGTCTATGGCTTTTTTATTGTAGCAGTATTGCGTTTACGTTCTCCCTTCGTAGACGAAAAGTGCGCTTGATGGAAAGAGAACAACACAACCAACCAACAAATCAACAGTGGAAGAAACAAAAAATAAATACACACACCGAACGTTACCATACGAAACACGAAGAGAAAATCCAACCAAGAGAGAAAAAATACCATACACACCAATTCAGTGTACACATAACATTCAATACGTTCTCGTTCTGCTGATGGTCGGAAATTCCAAAGCTCTCTCTTACGCCAGAAAAACATAGCGAGCGTACAACGACACAAAAAGTCTCTTCTCGCAGTCAGTGAATTTTGTCGTCCGTGGTGCGAAAAAGCATAATCGCCACCACACTTGTCCTTTATTTTTATTTTCTCTTCTCTCTATATATATATCGCTTCAAAAACATTCATTATTATTGTTTTATATTCATAAAAAAAAAATCTAAAGCGAAGAGAGGAGAAAATTGAACACTAAAACCAACTCTGTGAGTGTGCGTGTATGTGTGTGAGATAAAAATTAAGAACAAAAACAATCTAAATAACAGAATAAACAAAATAATGATAGAAAAACCATAAAATGAACGCTGTAGATGAAAGTAAAACGCAGCCAACAGAGACCAGAAAATCCACAATACCATTGCGCGTGAGAAAAGTTAAAACGCGTTGAAGTTTGAATAAATACTATTGTAAATGTTATTGTTGTTGGGTATTTTTTTTCGTTTCGTTCATTTCGGTTTGTACACTTTTCCGTTCAAAACATGAACGCGTATTGAAGTGACACTGAAATTCTAAAATCCGAAATTAAACAAGAGAAGAAAAAAACGACAAAAAAAATAAATATAAAACGTAATATAATACAACTTATCGTGTAAATAAAACGCGACAAAATTCTTTTTTTGTTTGTTGTTGAAACATAAATTACAAATATTTCATGCATAACAAAACAAAGCATAAAAATTAAAACTTAGAAAGGAAGAAGACGGAAAAAAGAGCAAACATCTACGTATGAGAAACAGAAAACGGAAGACAATGAAGCAGTTGAACAACGCTCAATGATCGTTTACATTTTGACTTCTGTGTGCGTGCGTGTTTCTGTTTTAAATTTTGGTTTTTAAATGTGTGTAAAATATGGAATTAAAACAATTTTATAAAATCGAATCAATCTCAAACAAAACAAAATCCATTTTAACTTGATGTTAACTCTACTATAGTTGAGTTTTATTTTTCGTTTAGTTTGTTTTTTCTATCTCTACATCTGTGTAATATACCTTATAAGGTTCTTCTTCTATATGTTAAATATATATGTGTGTGTTCGTTCTAGATGTTAAATCTCTATATGTTACTATATTTCTGCTTAGTCTGTAAATGAATGTTTTAACCCAACCAAAAAAGAAAAGAAAACCGAACGAAAACCAAATGAAAATACACAGAAAAATGTGTTGCACATCTAATTAAATATGCATAATATAATTTTGATGTAACACAATTGACATAATACCAACAACAAACAAATGCGAAAAAAATAGACACCAAGTTGAAATTCATTCCCGAAAATAAATCAAGAAGCGAAACGAAATACCATTAAAAGAGGGACCGAATCAACAACAACAATAGCAACAGAATAGACTCAAGAAGAAAAATCTAAGTGACAAGGGCAGCTGTACACAAACAAACAAACCAAAAAATATCCTGTCCAATAAAGACAGTTATTATTTGGCAAAAGGAACCCATCGAAACGGATCGCCATTCTTAACCCCCCGAAAGAAGAAGAAGAAGGATAAAAAAACACGTAATCTCATATATATATTTTTTTTATTTCGTTCATAAAAACAGTAACCAGAATGTCGTTAAGTAAATCAGACGCGGACACGATTGCCAATATTGAATGAGGCTGCAGTCAAAGTAATTCGGATAAAATCGAATAAAAAAAAAGAGATAGAAACAAATTGCGCGCAAATCATGCCCACCATAGAGATTCGGGCGCGCACACGACATTATTTTTTTTACTTTATTTTTTTTTTTTCGTTGTGCTGCCAATGGTGCGCTTTATCAATTGGCTGGTTTTCATTTTATTCTTGTGTATTATTATACACTTGGAATTCAACCCGTCATTATTATTATTACAATCATGAATGGGTTGGACTGTGTCATATTCTACCCAAATACGATGGTACAATGATGCGACTGTAGTTATTTTCGATAGCGTCAATCGTGCTCATCAAATAAACAGTAGCAATGATTAATCAGAAATGCCAAAATACTTAAGATGAACAATTCATTGTTTATGTCGTCGATGGGGTCCTCATCATCAAAATAGTATAACCAACTCAAACCAATTAACCATAAAGGCGATATTTCCGAGAGATACAACGATTTTCCATCGCATATAAGTGGTATTTTGGCGCCGTGAGCGCATCATCAATGCATTCAACTCCCGTACTACACACGGCAAAGTCATGTGTTGACGGTTGATTTTCCATCTTATTATTATTAAAATGTGGCGCGCACATCATAATAATAATATATATGCCCTTTGTGTACTATATAAGAGAGCACATTTTTCATTAGACAACATGTATTAGAGTATGTATTGACTGAAAATGATATTATACGCGTTGCGCTCGTTGAATGTAAAATGGGTTCCACAATTTTGATTTTTTTTCTCTCTCGTCATTTTCTGACATGGTTGTTCGACTTGAAGCACTAAAGTGGACCCGATCACATCAAAATCATAATAATTACCGACACCAATCGACTAGATAACAGACAAACAAGACAACAACTAACTAAATATTAGACTACAAACAACAGAAACTCTTCGAGAGAACTTGGGAGAAGTGAATAGAAATAAAAACGAGGCACTTAAACAAGCAACGTCGAAAAAAAAAATTGAATAAATATTGACTTTCATTTGTACATTATGTACAATATATCATGTTAATCACGATGATGATGTTTGATGGACGACAGCGACAGAATGAAGCACACGACGACAGTAACAACAACAATAACCACGAAACGTTAGAAAAAAATTGTATGTAGCAATGATGTGCATGAAAAACGAAAATTCCAAGCTTAAAACCGAAAATAACAGGGCAACAAAAAAAAAGGACAACAACTACCGCACCGAAAAAGAATAATAGTGTATAGCAAGAATAAGTGACGATACCACTCACTAAACATAACTACTTTATTGATTACTAAAAAGATAAGAATATGCTTGGTATGAGGGTCACAAAGCACATTCACATCTACACACCGAAAATGAAGAAAAAAAAACAGCATACATACGAAAAAAAGAGAATGAAAACGAAAACGGAAGAATGGTATTACATTTATTCGTGAAACTTTTCCGCTCATGTACGCTCATGAGTGTCTGTTTTGTATCTCTCTCTCTCTCTCTCTCTCTCTCTCTCTGTATATGTGCCTTGGCTCTTTCATACGATTTTGATGCGCGCTTTTGCTGAATGAGGTTGCGTCAAAATCATCAACTCGGATTATGTGCAATTATGAATTCAAACGATTTTATGGTTTTTCTTTCCTCTTTTGCCTCTTCTCTCTGCATTTCACCTTCTCCACAAGTTCATCTCAATAAAGGATCTGTATGCATGTATCAAATAAGTAAAATAGCATGGCACAGCAAAAATGGTGTCAGTAAAACCAAAACCAATGGCCGCAGGCAGCAATGGACGAAAAAACAAAAACGTTGAAGATGGTGAATGAAATAGAAACCGCAGTGAAAAACAGCCATGGAAAATAGAAAATAATAAGTGCACAATCGAAAAGATATATTACATTACTCACTAGCCCTAATGTGATGATATTTTGGCCCACATATCTTCTCTTTTTTTCACTTTCTCTATTACTTACTTTATATTGTTTAAGTCATCGTTTGGTCATCAGTTTCATCTGATATCTCTTTTTCTCTCATTCTATTATCAATTCATTGCATTGTGAGCCGTTTTTCATGCGGCTCATGATCTACAGTGAGTCAAATAATATCGGTAGACAAAATTTTGCATGGCACACTCCATTCGAATGTAGATCTTGTGTCTGCTTATCTCAATGGAGAAACTCTTTGTATACCAAAAAAAAAAATTATTCTCATTGTACGTGTAGCCAGAAGAGATGTATGTGTGAAGGATGACCGTTTGTCGGGGGTGCTCACCCAAATGATAGCAACCAAATAGATGATATTTATCAAGTAAAATGAGAGAAATTCTAATAAACGCATTCACTCATGGACGTCGTTAAAGACAATATTCGTGTCGACAAATTAAACAACGGCAAAACGTGTCAGTAGTCACGAAAAGTGAAATAACGAAAATACCGAAAAAGAAACGATTGAAATCGAAGTAAGACAATCAAAAGCTTTCTAACGAAATAAAAAAAAAATAAAGTGAATGCTAGTTTTGCCATGAATATAGCATGTTATATTGTGCGCTGCATAAGCAATAGCAGCAAACAGGAGAAAAAGTAACAAATCGAATGAAGAAGAAAGAAAGAAAATATTAAATATCACGTCATATATTCCAATCAACGGAACGAACATAAAAACGTTTACCAAAACATAACATGGAATATGTACTGTTGTTTTGAGTGTTGCCCTTAAACGGTTCGGTTGAATAATTTTTTTTCTCTCACGTACTCTTGTCTTTTGTCTCCTTCCCGTTTTTTTTTCTTCATATCTCTTATCCTTGTTGTTCATTGTTTTACAAAGATAGACATATAGAAAGAAAAAAAAAATTAAAAATAACAAACAAGCAAAGGCACCAACACACAGCGACCCATGCATATACACACACATATGTTTGGGGTGAACAAAAAATATCGAACACGTAATCTAAACTAAAAGGATATAGAAATACCAGCAAGGAATTCAACGAAAGTGTAACAATGTTTACGACTAACCATCGTATGGCAAAAGAATGCCTACATCTAGGCCCAAGGCATGATGGGACTTACAAATATGAATGAATGTATTGACAATATAGTCAGAAGTGACACAGCAAGAACACATAATATATGAAAAAGAGTACGGCTTTTCACAGCAATACGATGAAATTAGAGCATTCCATATTACCATTCCAACGAACGACCGACCGACCAAGCCTGCCAAATACCCAGTAACGCAAACGATTCTCGAGCCATAGTTGTCCGAGTCGATAGCTTTTTACTGAAAAAAGGCATTCGCATATACACATCGAGACCCCCCGTCCTTCCCACACACTTTAAGCCATAAAAAACAATGTAAGCCCGATTTCAAATTTGTCATTGCCATTTGGTAAATTACATTAAAATGAGCATTTTTTTTTATAAATATATCGCAATGAGTGCAACTGCGTTTTGGATCATTTTTTTTCTTTTGTTTGTGGAAATTGGAAACAGAGTAGTATGTTCGGTAGCTTTGCAAACAATGAAACCATCGTACAAATGTATAAATTTTGGCATAGAAAACAAAATGAACCAAAAATATAATTCGATGTGGTTGAAAATGGGTAGAAAATGTTTGACTGAAAATTGTGCGAGACACTTGTGTTTCCCAAAACTAGAGAGAGAAAAAAAGATTTAGTGTTGAGAGCACGTGTGAGTAGTTGCCCTGAAATATTACCCGCTTTTTTTGTTTGTAGTTTTGTTTAGTATAGTGCATTTGTGTTCGCCTCTCTCATTCCAGGTAAACCGCACACAAATAAAAACAAAACAGCAACAGCTCCTTCTTTTCAGCAAATATTCCAAAATAGAAAGTGTAAAAGCGAAAGCGATAAATTAAAAGTGCCGACAACCAGAAAAACAAATGTTTTTTTTTTCTTTTTGTCGCATTCGTTTTCATTTGAACACTACAGATTCATGTTGGCACTACACAAGCACTTACTTTTCGTATTGTCATTTTGTCTCCGTTGGCTAAATTCAAAAGTTAGTCAAACAACGTAGGGAGAAACAAAAACATCAAAGAAATATGCCATTTTGACGATGTACTGTTAATATTTCTGGACTAAATTTTATTTTATATCTGCATACTTAGCATATACTTACTAAACAAGCACAGAAAAGAAAAAAAAACTTCAACTTCAACTTTGGGTGAAAGCGATTTTTGATGTGATCAAATTCAAAAGTTTAATAAACAAAACAAAGAAATTACGGTTTTCCACTTGAAATGGCAAAACATTGGGACGATTTTTTTTTTTGTTGGAATGCAATACCTCAACAAATGTAAAATGTTGAACAACATTTTTATTGAGATAGGTGCCATCAATAAAAGCCAGCATAAACAAAGAATTATTCAGAAAGTGAAATCGAAACAATAAGACGAAGAGAAAAAAATACAACAAGAGAACATTGTGTATATACAACAAGGGAGACTATGGCAACCGAACGGTTTATAATCGATTGAAGTTGATATACAAGTCGAAAGAGAGCGTGTGTGAGATAGATCGAGAGAGAGGGAAGTTCAAACGTCGCATATCATGGCACATTGGTGCTGGAGGGTGCGTACAGTGTACACACAATACACCCTTTCAGCAACATTCCCATCACATTGATAAGACAATCGAAATCCATTTTGGCGAGGCTGGAACACACAAAATGAGAACGATACTGACAATGTTGAGTAAAATGTACGCAACGCTTTTGAATGGATGTTATTCACCATACATAATTCTTGTTCACCATATATAACTCGTTCGTTAAGCTCGTTTTCTTCACATCCAATGTTTACTGCCTTATTTTTTTATTCTTTTATTCGCTTGGTATTTTTAGAGATGAAGAAAAAAATCTCACATAGATGAATTT